CCCCTATTTTATAGGAAGTTGTTCATTTTTCTCCAATATTTCCTCAACAGTAATAAATGATTATTAACAATACCAATTTAGTCTTTTTACAATTAGTTTACTCATTATATTCTCAATATGACAATCGAGTGGGCAATTAGCTTAAGTATGTACCTAAGCGGAAGCCCTCGTTGAACACTGTGTAATAACATGGGCCGCATACAAAATAGTTTCATAACAAGCCATCATAGACTATAAATCACAACTTATATTACAATCATTTACTTCGATATTGATGTCTCTTATTTTCACGCGCACTATCCATAAATGAAACAACTTTTGAACGGTTTCATCGCGTTTGTATTTAGTTTTATTGACGTTCCGGACCCTTTAGAGACCCGTGTTCATATAAGACTAAGGTGTTGATTGTCTTTTTAATTAAGAGTATAGCTACCATCAAAACCAATACTATTGGACACATTCATTCATTCAAAACAAAAACGAAAATATATTTTATGGCAACATTTACATTTATTAAAAAATATTATTTTAAAAATACATTTGACTTATTTATTTAACCCGTACCATAATCTACCACCAGTTCCAAACTTGGGACTCTTGTCTGAGAAAAACTAGCGAAACAAACTCCGATAAGAATTGTGAATTGCTCTCTTTGATTTAATATTTATTTACAGAATGAACTAACTGTATCTTTTGGTTTTGCAATGTGTGATCTGGATTGAGATTTTATTTGACTAATTACTGGATCCCAAGTCGGTGGTATTTGCCAACCTACATCTCTATTAAAATTCAGATGTTTTTTAACTTCAATAGCGTCGCATATCATTCTAGGTATGCATTTTTGTTCAGCCGCAAGTATATTTGGATTGTCAAGTCTCATGTGAACACGGAATCTATAAAGGGTCCGAAAAGTCAATAAAACTAAATACTAACGCGATGAAACCGTTTAAAATTCAAAATGGATGCGTTTTCTCATTTAATACGGTATAGTTTTACCGCAATAGAAGCTGCTTAACCCATTTGGAATCTGAGCAATGTATATGATGTGGTCTATTATTATTATTAAGAAAAAGTAAAAAAAATATTGTTCTTTTTATCGCCAACAATCATTATCGGAAATCAGTTTATTTACATGAAACCTCAATAGAAATTTTCTCCTTAATTATTCCGATGAAAATAGTTTTTTGGTCGTTTATGAGTTTATCGCAGAAGATTTCAAATAGTTTAAAAAGAAATGTGGATTTGATAAATTCCTAATATTGGTAATAAATAACAATAACTTACACATACAACTTAAACATATTGATGTCGAATTATCAAAATTAATAAATTGCTAACCATCTATATGTGGTAACAAACTAATATATTAGATTTTGCCATATTAGTTGACATATTGCTGCATTATGTTATAAATAAAGTGGACTAATGTATGCAAAACTAGTTCAAAATGCCACATAACTGTCAATGAGATGTCCACCAGTCGTAATAATGTTAATATCATAACAAGTTGCTGGACATCCGATATCTAAATTCATCTATGTGACAAGTGAAGACATGAGAGCAACTTATTTAATTAATAATAAAAAAGTGCCTTCACTGATACGTGCAATTTGAAAACTAGGTTCTTTTAATTGTGAAATATGTAAACAAGTTTAACTAACTTAACTTTTATTCATCTCTTTTAAAGCGATAAGTCAGCTAGACCATACAAATAAAAGGTTGGCCTTCAATTCTTAGATTCTACCATATTTTTTTAAATCTTCTTTAGATAAATCAAAAATAAAAAAACGTCCGCCAGTCAAATGCTTTCAGAGGTGAAGGTGTAATAGCAAAATTAAAACTGCTCTCATGTTATTAATAGTATAAATATAATTTTGTATAATGTGTAAACAAATAGAGTTTATTATTCTATAAACGCAAAACACGAAAATGAAACGATAACTTACTTAGTGTTAATAAATACCACGATTTCTTAAACCAAAGGTACGTTTAACCCAACATGAGAACAAAAAATGACATAAATATAACCCGTTTTGCCGCGCACGTTAGACATTGAAATTTTAAAGATAAAACATTTTATGTAAACTACAGAATTTACTGTGACAATCGCGCGACAATCCTCACTAGTGGAGATATATTAAATTAGTGAGGATTTAAGGAATATCTACATTTTGACATTAGACCTCTGAGAATTATGGAATACAATGCACACCAGACTCTTAAATCCTTTATAAAAAAATGATTTTCGAGTTATGAAAGTAAAATGTGTGGACTTAGATTGTTTTAATTATTACAAGAAAGACTTTAGACTTCATTAATTAAGTCATCATTGATTTTTCAGAATTGAACTACAAGATTTTAAAATCGCAAAAACCTGTGTTTTAAGCCATCGAATGAGACGAGAAGCGGTTAGAGCTCGGCCGTCAAATAGCGCTCGTCCTTCACGCTTCACCGGACTGATGCCGCCGCTATCCATGCACCGCATATCGATGGAGATCTATTGTTCCACAATTGTATTAGCTTATTTGTGGCGCATTAGAATGTACTTAATGCTAGTTGCGTAAGTTTAAAGTTCAATATACTAATTATTATACATATTCGATCAATATTTACGGTTTTTTATTAATATTTATCTGTAGGAACAACACTTAAAAAATCAACTGTACACCTTGAATTGAAATGGATTTTGAACCTATAACGTTTTACAATCTAAAAGGCTGCTCTTACTAAGAAGAATAAATTCTCCTTGGCTCTAACGAATTCAGCTAACCCACATCTTGCAGGACTGACTAATTTCTAAAGAACATTACGACTTACCTAAACATGAGAAGGAAATATTTTAAGATAAACATTATAATATTCTATATATCTGTGATCTGTGTTATAATAGGTACTGATCCCGATGAGTTATGATAATATGAGTCATCATAATAGGAAGAAAGTGTAACTGAATCATTCTGCAGTTTAATATAATTCAAAAGTGTAGACGCCTGTAGTTTTGGACACTTGACAACTTGTCATGCATTTTATGGTTTTCAGTAAAGGTAACGGTGAAACAAGTAGGTCTATTCGGTCCAGGAAGCGTAGGGTCTTTGGCTCCTAAAGGAATGTGCGTGGGCGACGCTCCCAGCGCCCGCGCTTTCTATTGATTTAATGAACACTATCTTATCTTGCCCAATAAGCTTATTGCGTTCATTTTGAGGTTAATTCACTCAATTGACGACCCGAGAAAACAATTGCATACGCCAGCAAGTTATTGTCAAATACGAACATTTTAGTAACAGTGATTTATTAGCAAAATATTAATATTCAAATGTTTTATATAAAAAATAGGTATGAGTATTTATAATTACTTGAATGAACCAGGATATTTTTTAAATATTAAAAAGTAAATAGAAACAACACAATCTAATTGTATAGTCAACAGCACGTCAGGTTTTACAAAATTGATAAATATGTCCACTTGCATTTATTCCATTCTACACTACCTTCAGTAGTATTCAAAATCCATTGAGGAAGTTTAATTTATTGTGATAATCTGATATGCTGCCGTGTTTTTATGGTAAGATTTTGTCGAGAGTAAACTACTTACTAAAATTTTCTTCCTAAAAAATATTATAAGCCTAGAAGGTACCGACTAAATTCTTAATATTAATGAATCATTTGGCTTATTAAGTCATAAATTCACGGTGTGGAACCGATGTTAATTGGCAATAAAATCAAACATGATCTTCTGCCATATGAATTGGCTATTAATAATTTATAACATGATGGGTATTTTAAGTCAATGTGATAAACGTGTGAAAACTTAATGTCGCTTTAATTAGTCTTCTTTTGATCTTCTGCCCGTATCGTCTGACGCCTGAAATTTTAAATCATTAAAATTTTAATAATATTACAGGTCCACTTAAGTAGAGCAAATATATTCCGAACTCACATTACAAACATTCTCTTTAAATTATTTTTTATTCTTACAACTAAATAAAATTCTTCATTTCCTCGAAATATTGAAGAGCTGCTGCACCATGTTATGATACTGATATTTAGTAACTTTCATAAGAGCCGGCCATCGAGATGACCGAAATTTTACTATACCAAGTTCCTCCGTGCTTTGGAAGTCACTTTAATCTGCTGGACCAGCTGTAATTATATTCGTTTCACCCTCCAGACCGCATTGGGTTTAGAATTATTTAATTTAATCATTGTCTAGTTGTATATAGTAGATGCTCTGTATATTCAGGAGCCTGGTGATTCGGGTCTAAAAACCTAGAAAGGCACCAGTCTCCCACAGGTGACCTATTTTTCTGAAAACTATATTGATTTATATTGTGCCATTTGTGGTAAAAAATAAATATTTATTATTAGTACTTTTTAAGTGCACAGAGTTATATATCAAATAATTAAATACTACTTATTACTCTGTATTATCATCTATTGAAACATGAGTACCAGGGATTACAACCGTTTTGCGATTCGCCTAAAATAGTTTAGATAATCAAGCTCTGCTTTTATTCTGCGGAAAAATAATAACTTAAAAATGAGAAAACACAAAATTGTAATAAATGCATTATAAAAGCATACGTTTACGATCATTAACCTTGAACTAATTATCAATTCAAATAACTAGCCGTTTGTGATCACACTTATCAGCTATTTTATTCACCGGATTTCCTCATGTAGTAATCTTAATCAAACAAGCAAATTAAATGTCAATAACATCGTTTTATCATCGAATAACTCGTTGTTTTATAGTCTTACCGCTAAATATTATTTATGAGTCTGTATATTGCCGCTGAATCATATTTTAAAGTGTACAAATTCTTCTAAAACGAAAAAAATAATCGTTTGTATACAAAAATAAAATAATGTTTAAGAAGAAAATCGTTCCGTGAAAATGTTTTAATTATTATCTTGTTAGATACTTTATCTTATGAGATAAAATTTCCCAAACTTGACTCGATTTCGATAAGTATTTTGATCTTCACGTTTGACAATCACAGATATTGGTTATCTTTGCAAGATACAAAACTGATCTCAATTCTGTGCTTAGTCAGCCTTTGAATCTACCAAAATGAAGTTATCTCACATATTTTTTATTACATTAGGTGAGTGTTTGTATTATTTTTATATGCACTCTGATTATATAACTTATTTAATTTACTTGATTATTGATAATCACTGTAGTGTTACTTACAAACCGTCAAATAAGAAAATTACTTTTGTGTTTAATAAAATTTTAGACGGTATCCCACATCTTACTCAGTCCCTTAGTTTAGTATTTAAGACGCAAAAATATCACTACCACCCAGACCCGAAACAGTACCGAAAAAGTCATCATCCCTGAGGTCCTGCATGAGTTATTCGCTCACGAATATCTACTTTGGTTTATTATTAATGAATATTTTGTATAGGCTGGCTATAAACTACATATTAATGAATGCTGTGAATTGATGTAACGACTACGTGCAGGTTTATTAAGCTGCACCGCGTCACTACCAACGCTAGTACCATCAGCAGAAGAATCTTCAGCTCGTATAGTTAACGGATTTGCAGTTGACATCTCCCAAGTTCCGTATCAAGCATCACTCCGAGGCAGGACCATCACTGGTTGGTCTCACATATGTGGAGCTGTCGTAATAAGTACTAGGGCTTTGGCAACAGCTGCACATTGTGGAGTTAAGTAAGTCGATCTTGAATACACGAACCTTAAAAGATAAGAAATGCTATCGTAATATCCTTAATTTTCAAAAGGTATTCATTCTAAAACTACAATGAAAAATGAATATGTTCTTCATAAATATGTTTTACGGTAGAATCCAATCGTTTGCGTTGCAATATGTAGATATAGATATAAAAATTTCTTAATACAATTTATATTATTTTTTTAACTCTAATAATATTATCTCAGGAATGAATGTCAAGACTATGAAGTGTAAACGCCATTCCTTAGGTCAATCATTGTCCTTCAAAATATAAATATGAAAATATTATTTTTCAGTTTCGTAAACCAACCATCTTCAGTGGTGGCAGCGGTAGGCACATCGCAGCGTAACTCAGGCGGGACTACTTACACTATATCACGCTTTATAATTCACGAGTTGTACAGCAACACGACCTTGGAACATGACATATCTGTAGCTATCACTGTCCAGAACATGGTGTTTGGTTTGAATGTTGCTCCAGTGACTATTGCACCGCTTGGCATGACCGTTCCGACTAATGCAGAAGCTCTTGTCACAGGATTTGGTGCGACTGCTGTAAGTTTATATTTTTATGAAGTATTCTTATAGTGTTATTAAAATTATTCGCTAAAAAATTATTCATTTTTGTCTATTGTAGATACAATCGCATCAATACAACTGTAAAATGCAAAAAAAAAAATCCGTTTAAGGATATGTATATATAGTTATACATACATATCCTTAAACGGATTTTATGTAGGATTTACATGCATTTACTTTTATAAGATCTCAATAAATCTGATAAATATCAATCATTTCACATATCTTAACAGAAAATCTATGAAGTATAAAAAATATAGGGACTAATACTTTTTAACATTATAAATGTGCTTCAAATAACTTATGAGTGACATTTTTTTTATTAAAAATATCATGCTCTCAAATAATAAAGTTGCTTCTGTATATACTCCACAGTACGGAAGTGTTGCATCCTCTATGCTGCTCGCAGCTCAAGTTAAGATCGTCGACCAAACGTCATGCGTGCAATCATACCTCCGTTTCACCGCCATTACTTCGGGAATGATATGTGCAATTGGAAGTAATCCCTCACGAGACGCCTGCCAAGGGGACTCCGGCGGTCCCCTGGTTTATAATAATCGTCTCGTTGGTATTGTGTCATTCGGAGAAGGTTGTGCAGACATCAATTACCCCGGAGTGTACACTAGGGTATCAGCTTACGAATCCTGGATCTACCAAAAATTAACCGGGATATAGTGCTCCAGAATCATCATTTTGAAGTAAAGTTAGAGGTTGTCTGTTTCTACATAATACTTTCTATGTAATAAATTTATAAACTAAATCTTATTAAAAAATAATATTTGTTAATATTTGTCTCTAACTGGTTTACAGGGACTTTATTATTTATTTTTTATTTCAAGGGTTCAATGTGGGTTGTGACACCAAATAAGATATATTTATTTTCGACTTTAATTATTTCTTTATGAATTGTTGTCTTAGCGTTAAAAACGCATTGTAAGTGTATAATGTTTATGTTAACATTGGTTTTCATTAAATATCCCAAAATAAATACTTGCTCTGTGTCTGATCAAGCTAAATACTTCATCACATTAGCGCAAGCCTGTCAATGTCCCCAATGTACAGGGTATAGAAAAGGATTGAGGTGTAGTAGAAAGAACCAGCCGTAAATTACCTCGCGGTTTCAATGCAGATAAGTGGAAGTTTAGTAATATCGAAATAGATGCCTTCCGAAGGCCCGTACCCATCTAGTTCAATAATGATAGTTAATGCTTACTATAGATCATTACAAATATCTTTATTATATCTGCTTGCACTGAAGAAAAGTGAAGTTATCTGTGTTTAATTTCAAAACATTATATAAAGTGTTATATAAAATTATCGATTGATAAAACACCGATGAACGACAATGGTGACGTTAAGCAACCTAATTTGAATACAAACAGCTTTCTACGGCGCCGTACTTACGCGCCTGGTGTCAATGACTTTTCAATACCGTGTCAATTTACATATCGTAGTAATTATAAAAATAAAACTGTTAACTATATATAAACATGACATTTTTCTTATCCTTTCTCGTTAAAATGGAGCGATGACTGATGTTTTATAAATAAACAGTTCTTGTCAAAATATTTTCATTATTATAACTTATAGCAAATCAGGTAAGTAATAATTAAGATAAAGACACATGACCCTGCTTATAAACATTACCGAGAAAACAAACAAAAATTTTATCTCCGCATCCTCATGCGGATGATATCGACCAATGTAACAGAGCTAGAACCTTCAGCATGCAGAACTTTCAGATGATCACAGCAATCAAAACATAACTGTAAAAATTGCAACACGAAGTCCGTTAGCAAAGTAAGTTGAAATTCAGGGCTCAAAAGACTGTGTGATGAACGGAACTGCAAGTTTGAACCATCAAGGAAGGCTGACGGCGTCAATGGTTATCTAGGTTTCTCCATCCGCACCAATCTGCCGAAGCTGACCAAAACGCGATTGGTATACCCAAAAATCGTATCCTCTCGTATCAGAACGGGCCCTGAGAAGTTAACGGAATCATAATACAATATAAACACATTCTTTAATAAAAATAAAATTTAAATAAAGTTGGCTATGACTTTAGGCAGTCGCGCCTCCATCGGTGGCAATGCTAGCAACTCCAAGACAGACTGTATTCTTGATTCACTCGTTTAAATTCTTCTTGCCGGCTACAATTTAATTCATACACTGTTTTTCTGCATTTTTTAATCATCTCAGTACTGCCAAAACGAAAATCGACAATGTATCGCATAGAATCTTAAATAATGTAACTTGCTAAGTTTGATTTTTATTATTTCTATGTTAGGTGTTATCATCGAAAATAATGACCCGATCATGAAAATTCTTTCTCCTACAGGAAGCAACATCATACGTGGATGAATTCTCGCGGGCGATGTCGCTTGAAAACATCAAGTATCATATAAAACTTCATCGGATCCAAGTTACATTGTCTCGAAAGTCTACTCATTGAGGAAATATTTTTAGTTACTTCTAAAGCAATATTGGCTTGCATACAAACAACGCCATAATTGGTTATTATCCGCCGTGTCTTACGAATGAAACGGAAAGGAATCTTTACTTTACAAATAACATTTAGTTATTTTTATATTAACAAAATCGTACTAATTAGCGGTATTATTCGTTTGTTCAAAACATTTGTTTTATTTTTTTAACAATTCGTTTATCTGGTACATTTCACACGTTTCGTTACGATTAGATCTCTCGTGACGAGCGTTATAAAATAGTAGGTTGTTACGTTTATTGTTATAAAATACACGGACTTAATCGCGAGTTTAATTTAATTAGTCATAAGGTTTTTCATAACTTGTGTTATTATAATTGATTTATTAACCAAGATAATCATGAAATGTTTATTTTTATACTCAATAAAATGTATTATCATATCTACTATACATATTTTTTGATAGTTTTGGAAATGACGGAACAGATTAAGAAATGGATTTGTTTTACAGTATTTCAGAGTATTACCTGGGTATTTCAGAACGGTTGGTATTAATACTCATATTTTATCTTAAAAGATTCGCGATTAAGTACTTATTTTAAATAAATAAGAAGATCAACAACTTGTATGTATATTATAATTAAATTGGTAAATAACGTATGTGATTGATAGTTGAACACTCCTGTTACTGGGCACTCACCACTTATTGAATTAATTATTTGTTTAACGTTATTTACTTTTAACACTTTTTTATACCTCTAAGAATAAATATTTTTTAAATCAAATGACCTAAAGACAAAGCCAACGTTACCGTCGATTGAAAGAATGTAACATTACGTTGATTATAAGATTTTTCTCTCTACTCCTATAACAAATATACAAATATCAACCAACGTAAAAGAAAAAGATATATTATTATTAATTTTATGAATGTTTAAGTTATTGTAAAGCAAGCAGCATCTTGGTAATTTTGGACTGGCAGCACACCGGGGTCACATACATAGGTACTTACTAGTCCATCACGTCACGAGTTTGGTTGGCTAGAGTAAGACAGTTAACCAAACTCGACCGATTAAAGTGTATAACTGACTGAAATTGAAGCTGCTAACCTAATCTAACCCAGTAATTTTGGGCATACTCATTAAAGACCTGCACAATCCGAATAAAGTAGGCAATTAAGAGGTGTCCGCCGCCTAATTCTGGTGGCAATGATTGGCAAGCTTGCATGGGACTCGCTCCACTCCCATTATTAATATTTGTGTTCAGCTTATTGTTGCGCTTAATGCAATGGCAACCTTCTTGCACGACTGTCTCACATACAACCGATGTGACGCATGTTGTTACAAGCATAAACTACATTCATGTTAAATGTAAATGCAATATTTTGATTTAAAACCGTACCCTGTTTCCGTATATGATTTTGATCCATAGGAAAAACCTTTCAGCAACAGTAACAGAGACATTAATGCATCCGATTATGCCAAGCGATATAAATAAATATTTAATGCAAGAAATCGGTTTCTCTAAAACCTGTATAGTTTTTGAGTATGTGACCCAATAGCAAAAAGTCTTGAAATTCTTATCACCGTAAGTATTATTTTGTGTGTTTTTTTGCTCAAACGTAAATCTAATATACCTTGACAGTGACAGTGATCATAACCATGTATTATGAAATCAAACAAGATGATAATTTAATAAATATGCATAATGATTTCACACACATTTGTTAGCCACGTTGATTTTATTAGACGCATTAACATATTTATGAATGTGTATTATTTGACAGCAACATGATAAATTGATTAATCGTAATGTCTTAATCATTTTCAGAATATGAACTTTAATCTTCTGATTATAAATTAACTTCGTAAGCGTTGTCTTCGAGTCTCATGACAGCCGTCGTATAACTTTGTATGATTCTCTGAATAAACTACCTAGGTATATGTATGTCTTATTTTACGTGTATTTATAATAATAATAATATTATTCAATTATTAACTGTAGGGTATATTATTGTTCACCCCCGTCTTATTGTAATAAAAATCATCTATCCATCTGAAGGTTGTCTAGAAGAGATTACTTTATATGATAATGTCATATAACTCGTCGATTATGGTACATAATTTTGTTTTGCTTTCTCTGTGTTTTTGGTGATTACAATAACGTTTTATCTTGTGTTATTTTATTTTATTTTTCCGGACGCACGTCTCGTCGAGTTGTATATATTAGATGATCTTAAGTAAATTATATATAATAAGTAAGTTTAGTTAAATGAATGTGGTTAAAGTTTAGAATTAAATGATACAACCTATGGGTGTATTTATTCCCCTAGTATTAAGATAATTTAAGTTATAGCAAATTAAATGATTGTGAGGGGTTGGATTTTATTTGCTATGGTTTTCTATAAGGTATTGCCTCGCTAAGGAGGCTTAGGTAGCTCTCTGTATGGTATTGCTTCACTCAAGGAGGCTTATGTGGGTTTTCTATATGGTATTGCCCGAGTCAAGGGAGCTTATGTGGGTTTCTATACGGTATTGCCTCGATACAGGGGTGTTTAAAATGTAAAATGTTCGACTACCTTCATGTTAACAATAAAAATGTATCGGAGCGAGACGGCGCTGGTTTACGCGGGATCTTCCGTCTCGCTCTGACCACATAAATACATCGGGCAAGAGCGCGGCGCGCCTTAGAATGATTATGAGCTTCGACGGCGCGGTCTTGCCCGACACGATACGAGTTATGTAACAATAATATGATGATGTTTTAACGTGATTTATGATGTAAATGTAGAAACAGTAAAACGTAGTAATTAACAATAATGTGATACATAGATGTTAAGGGTGGGGGATGGCTTCGCAAAGTAGGGGTTAGATATGTAATAGGCTAACCAACTGATAATATACGGAGCTAAGTGCGAGCCACCCCAACAAATGTAAGACGGGTCGATTTGAGCGAAATTTGTAAGCTCTCCGGCCCTCAAGATTTAAGAATAAAGAAGAAGTGAAAACCATCGAAGGAAGTTTCAATTATACAGTCCAAGCATCGGCTAGCTACGTGTAAATCTGTTCAAGATCCAGGAAGATCCGCAACAGAAGTTTGGTCCATCGCTCGCCGGATATATGAAGTCAGAAGACTGAAAAACGTTCCAGACCTACGGACATAGCCGAAGAAAACACTCGTGTTCTGTCACGAGTATACGCGGGTGGACCGCGGGCTCATTGCGTACACCACCTAACGGTGCCAAACGGTGTGCGTAGTGAGTTAACGCCGTTCAAGGCGGACGAGGTGGTCAGTTCGTTTCCGAACTACACGTCGTACTACGCAAGGCATTGTAACCATACGGACGAAGTGGTCAGTTCGTTTCCGAACTACACGTCGTATTTCGCGGGGCTGTA